CGCTCTTCAGCGGGCTTAGCATCTTAGTCTCCCGGAGGGAGGGATAACACTGCCTTTTGGCTTTCAACAGCCACAAACACCCATCACAGGATGCAGTCCATAGCCCTCCTAGCACTTTCAGGACTGCTGTAGATGAATTTCAGGGAAAGTCCATTGCTCCCAGGCAGTGCATGGAATTCCCCCAATTTACCTCTGCTCTCAGGAGCTCAGCCAAACCAGTCTCGAGACAATACCTGGGTAGGAGGTGAAAAATGTCACCTGCCAGGAAATGCCCAAATCTGTTATTGGGTGGAGGCCCTCTGGATTCACCAGACAGATCACCACTTAGCTCAGTCTTGCTAGTCTGGACTTCATGCCACAGAGGATGAGAAAAATGTAACAGTCCCTTCCACAGTCCTGTTCTTGAAGTCCTCTGGTGGGTGGCAACGTGTGAGTCTTTATACTACTGCAGCGATCAGTGATGAACGTGTCTGGTAAGACAGTCCATTGGTTTTGAATTACATTTTCACAGTGAAATATATTTATAGGCGTTTCTGTGATGCTTATCGCTGACTGACATCCACGAGTGACTTAGCCCTACCACCACTTCCTGTTTCACAGTGACAGCGCGGTGGAGACTCTGACATCCTCTCCCAGTCAACTTTTAAATAACTGTCCAATGTACAAACGGCTGTTGGTGTGGACCAGGTTGTTGGGGGATAACAGAGTCTCCTGATATCACCTTGCCAGTGGGACACCCCTCCCATTCCAATGTGTGAGCCTGGGGTTACTCTTGCCTTGTGGGGCAGGGAGGACATCACAGATGCTTGTCATAATTGCATCAGGCCCAGCTGGAGCCCTCTTCTGGCAAGTCTGGATACCCCTGAGCGGCTCAGCCAATACTACAGGACTGCGATGGGACACCTCTCGGACGCCAGCGTGTCGCCCTGGGTGCATCTGTAATGGCCCGACAAAGGCTGGAGATCTCCACCCATGGCACCGTAGGAAAAGGCCACTCCCTAAATTGCATGGCCCCAGCCTTGGATGCTCCTCCAACAGCTTTGCCCGGTCACTCTGCGCTGGGGCCCGGCATTGGGGGTATTGCACCTGCCCCAGCTTTTCCTTCTGCCCCCTGGCGTCCGGCTCTCACCTGGGCGGGCTGGGGAGCAGAGCGGCAGGGAGCCCAGAGATGCAAGGGCCCCTCAGACCTTCCCCATTGGCCAGTGGTGCCACCTCAGGCTGACCTGTCGATGGGGCCGGAGCCACCTCAGCTCCCTCACCCCCTGCCCTGCCCCACCTCAGAGAGTCTCGCGCCCG